AATTTCGGTGGATTTGAACAATGAATTGAAATATCGAAGAAAAAATGAGACAGGGTGTCGCTTAAGAAATGTTTCAGCGAGGTTTGCTGTTCTACCACTTAATTCGGGGGAACGTTGTCGTTAGAGGGTGAAGCTGCCACGGTGAAAGCCTGTTAAGGTGACTGGAATATAATAACATTATCGATCGCCTACGCAAAGACAAGGGTGCGTTTACGCACGTTCCTGTAAGGGAGCAAATGCCCTAGAACGGTAAAGCTGTGTGTCACGGCAGGGAAACGAAAAAAAGGTGAAACATACAATGGCACGCATTAATACTTAAGCAGATATCACGACAATTGTTTTATGTACCCCCTTTACAACCACGACAAAGAAACAATTATTCGATGGTACGCAAAGTACATTGTTCTTGAGCAAGTATATAAAATATATAGAATATTATTTCTTCATAACTTATTATACATTTTTATGTAGGACTTCAGAATTACAGAGTTCTGTGAAAATTTCATAAAAAATATTTACGTTTCATAAATTTCAAATTTCTCGTTAATTAACAATTAACGGATGATGAATTAATAAATGTAATTATTAACATAGTCAGTATGTATTATCAAACTGCCATAATTTATGGCATTAACGATCTATTAATACACAGCGTGAAGAATTTTAATGAGTAGCGAATACACATATAATGACCATCGATATTAATACATTAATAATTGCTGAATTAACAATTATTCAAATTGTCATCTTCCTCGAGATTTTACAAACATTTTGAACAATTACAAATTTCATTGTCTCAAACGCGTGTTCTTCAAAGCGTCTATTAAACGAACCGTGAAATAATTTTAGCATATGTAAACAGTTGACAAAGAACAGAAACAGTAGATTCAGTTATAAAGCAAAAAATATATGCGGTTATAAGCGCTTTGTAATCCGTGAAGATTATCTGTCAAAGTGTTTTTAAATGAGACGTGTAATAAAACAATGCAACAATTCCTGAACGTAATACTTAATGAAAGCGCACTCAATATAGCATCTCAATATTAATATAGTTCACCGTAAAAATTGTTTGCGTCGTCAAAAGACTCCGAAAACAATTTCTGTCGAAGCTTTCGTAAGCGTCGAAGAAAGTTCGCAGAAGGCAACAAGTAAATTATGCATCGTGGAAGAAATCCATCGGTACGAAGTGAGGAACGAGTGCTCGATTTTATTTAAAGTAGAAAGCGAGTTTCTTAAGTTTCAATTTCTCTCAAAGCTGCACCGCGCAATAATAAACCTGAAAGACAAATTGAAATTCCTCCTCTTTGGAGTCTGCGAGCAAGCGCGAATTTACTTTACGCGTTACCGTACACACCTTTTTTTTTGGTCTACTTTCGAGAGCAAATTAACCAGGAGGGCGCCAATAGGAGAGGAGAAAACGAGCGAAGAAAAAACTCGTCGCCGTTTCAACCGCGAAAAATTAATTGCGCGGAAAAAAATGAAATTCCGAGTCGAGCGAACGAGTGCCTCCTCCTTCTTTCTTGTCGGCGAATTAATCGCCGAGGGTGACGGCTGTGAGCCGAATAATCGCAAGAAATATTATTAACGTCGACTGGATGAACAAGCAGAAAATTAGCCGTGCAAAAAAGCACGGAATCGCGAACGGACGAAACAACGTCGAGGAAATAAACGAAACCACGGAACCGTGTTGCGTAGACGTTGGAGAAGGCTTGGAAATATAGGTAGAGGGACGAGGACTTTGATAGAGAGAGACAGAGAACAGGGGGGAGGGAAAAGCAGCAAGTGGCCATGTTGCAGGTTCCCTCGGGATTAAACAAACAACCGTGAGCCAACACGCACACTCGAATCGGACACACCCTGCCTTTGCTCGTGCCTCTCTGGATATCAACCGAAATTTCGGATGTTGACGTTCGTGACGAAACGTGTGTTGGGTTAAATTGGCAAAGAAAACTCTTTGAACGGCACTTTGTTTAATTTTACCTATGTCACTTTTTCTGCTGATCGACGTTGAAATACAGAATTGTTTTTTGAGGGTACCTTGTGCTGCCATAAACGGTGTTGTGGAACATTTTTTGAAAGCACGTTAGGTTTGAAAGAATTGATTGATGTCGAGTGACGTCCGACAGCTTGAATCGGATATGTAGAATTAATATTTGGCTATATAAGGCGTTGTTATGTAGCGCATGGTGGTGCAATATGATGTGGTATGTGTAGAAATACCACAGATGATGCAATGCGTGGTTATAGATCGCGTAGAAATGCAGCCTGTCGTAATTTAACGCGTGGGGATGCAACCCGTTGTGATGTAACGCGTGGAGGTATGGTGCGTAGCGATGCAACCCGTTATAATTTAATGCGTGGAGGTACGATGCGTAGAGACACAACCCGTCGTATTTCAACGCATTGGGGTACAATGCGTAGAGCTACGATCCGTCGTATTTTAGCGCGCGGGGATTCAATGCGTAGAGATACAACCCGTTATCATTGAATGCGTAGGTATACAATGCGTAGAGATACAACCCGTCGTATTTTAACGCATAGGAATACAACGCGTAGAGACACAACCCGTCGTATTTTAACGCATTAGAGTGCAATGCGTAGAGATACGATCCGTCGTATTTTAGCGCGCGGGGATTCAATGCGTAGAGATACAACCCGTTATCATTGAATGCGTAGGTATACAATGCGTAGAGATACAACCCGTCGTATTTTAACGCATAGGAATACAACGCGTAGAGATACAACCCAACGTATCTTAACGCATGGGGATACAAACGCGTAGAGATACAATCCGTCGTATTTTAGCGCGTGGGGATGCAATGCGTACTCACAGCACGTAATACTATTAACATGTTGTGTCACAATGGGTAACAGTACATAGCATAACGATATAATGCGTTAATATGCCACATATGACATAACGTGTGATGGTACGTGCAGAAGTACAACGCATCGATAATACAGTAAGTAGGGATATCACGCGTATTGCTACTAATATTTTATGACAATGCGTAGCAATATAACGCATGACAACGCGTGTAAAGATGCTAATGCGTTACAAGATAACGCGTGATAAAACGTGTAGCTGCACGTAATGGCATAATAATAAAACGTACAGAATTAAAGTTCATGGAAATACCACAAATGATAATAGAGATACAATGTAATGTAATGGAAATACAACATGTAAAGACTCGACACATAATTAAGGCGGTACAACGTGTTGTAATACACGTATTAAACGATCGTATGTAGTTACAACGTGTAGAAACTCGTTAAATTGTGAAGCTTACAAATACAAGTATATGATGTAAGTATATGATCGTAAAATCGCCCACACGAGAAAGTCGACATTAAGACGGCAATATAACGAGAACTTACTGTACTTTAATGAAGGAAATACAATTGGATTCGGAAATATAGTGCAGTCATCAAATCGTTCAGACATAAGAGAACATAAAATTCAAACCTCCAAATACGTGTCTCAGGAAAATAACGAGTTCGAGCTTTGCTGAGTGCGGTACAATTGAAGAGTGGAAATAAATGAAGCGGTAAATGTCGAAGTCGATTTTTAAGAAACACAACTGTTTGTTTAACGAAATGCTACTTGCTGATATGTTCTTGATAAAAATTACAAATAATTGTCGATTTCGCGCATGCGCTTTGCCCAAACTGAACAAGTCATCAAAACAGAAAAGTTACTTGTTCTTTTTAGTGTCGTATTAAATAATATCAAGGTTACAAAAGAATCACAAAAAGTGAAGTCACTTCGGTCTCTGCAGAGCTCATGTACGAATGTGACAAATTGGAGACAGACAGTCGAGACATAAATGTTTGACCACTCATAATAAACAGACCATATCAAAGAAATGTAACAAGTAGGACTATGGTCAGATAAATCATAAAACCTAGAAATTAAACTCATCTTGTAAATTTACGGACGTTCGATAGCCATTTTTTAAATTGAAGCCAAAGTAGAAAAATGACTAAATCAGGTATACGTAGACTACCTAACAATTCTTCATCTTGACAAAAGTCAACTTCAGAAAAATTTCTTAGTAACTGTAATATGAAATAAGAAATCCTTCCGACGTATTCCGTAAATCTAGTGTTAAATCGAGACGAAAATTGCGACTTTAATCGAAATCAATTATCCTGTCCATAACCCATGAAAAATACGGTACAATACTAGTTCTAGCGGATGAACCGTCAGAGCGATCATAGGATTGAAAAGACGCGTTGATAATGGCTTCCGTTCACAAGGGGCGCCATTGTGTAACGAACTGAACCGTACACCCTGGTGATGTCGATTCGAGAACGCGTTTCATGCTGTCGGAAGATTTAGGAATCGTTCTGACGAGCGTACGCTCGTGTTGCGTTATCTGGGTGAACCAAAGGGGATCCGGGACAATGGAAGCAACACGGAACAGCCGACCAGAGGAACAACGGAGCCACTTGTTACACGCAACACGATAGAAATTGTTTCTTCGGTTCGTCGTACGTTAGCTCGGCTGAATTTCACGTCGCGATCGATATTGTGCTCGTTTCTGGACAGAAGCTGCCTCGGAACTATAGAGGCTCTACTTCGCGAACGAATTACAATACGCGCCTCGATGACGTTCGAGAAGCCATCAGAGTCTAGAATCACCGATATTTGTGCCATCGGCGTTGCTGAAAATATCGAATATTTTTGTTCGTCCGGCTATTGTTGGAACACATAACACCGTAACAAATACTTCGCGTTTTCGCTTTCAATTTTTCTCCGCGACGGATCCCATCTGGAATGATGGATCTGCGGATTCTTCACGTTCGTGGGACTTTAGGAACCATTTGTGTCGTACATCGGGGTGCACGGGTTGTAGGGGACGATCGATATCTCTTGTTTTAAGAAATTCAGAAGGGTGCGTCGGAGAAACAGTTTAGCGATGTGTCTTCTTACGCGTTATAGAAAATGAACAGGTTGAATCGAACCTTTCTCGACGGAGAAATAATCTACTCACGTTTGTTTCGGACAATTAATTCCATCCCCGAAATACGGAATTCAACACTCAATGAAAAATAAATCTTCCGTGAAGTCCGTCACCAAGAACTTCGACGCTGACACAGTGATTCTTACCGAACGCGGTAACAGGTGTCTCGACTGCTACCAGTCAGGCCCGTGAACAAATAGGCATCCGTTTCGTGGTGGTCCGTCGCGAAACTCGGATCAAATCGAACGACGATCGTGCGAGAACAAAAAAACGTACGTAGCGGACATCCGTGATCTTTCGCGATTCACTTGCTATCACGCGATGCGGCACACGCTTCACTGAAGTTTTCCCGCGAAAATCGCTCGCGCTCGAAAGGTGCTGGCTTGTTCACGGGCGTCTAATCACTGGCGGTCACTATTATCCATCCGTGGAAATTTTCCGATCTTCTTTTGCACAAAGTCCGAAAGCTGAGACGTACACGAGTCACTGCGAGATAAACGTAATGGAGCGTAGAAGCTGTTGGTGACGGCGACGTGACCAGATAGGATGTATCTGTACCACTGACCTTGTTCCGGAAGTTCCCCTCCTAGCTGACGAACACGCGGTAACCGAGGCTCATGTCAAGAGTCAGTTAAGCGACGACGGGCTACCGGCGACCGACTTTTACGCTTTGGACCTCGTGATCCTGTGGACTCCTGCCGCGCTCTGTGCCGAGCTGAACGCGGGTACCTTAACGGGACGACGCCGACGCCGACGCCAGCATCGACGCCGACGCCGATCACAGGAGACCGCGGTGCACCTGCGCCTTGAATACGCTTTTCGTCCTCCTATCCGTGTCCAAGACCGCTTGAACCATCGCCGACCTGACTCTCTGCCACCTGAACTCACCCTTCAACCTCGCCACGACTTGACTCTCGCCACACCTGAACTCCCATTTTGACCCCCATACGTTTCACGGAAACGATATTCCGTCTGGCTACGTTCGTCGATACGCTCGATCACGCGCGGCTGACGCAGTTGTTTGATCTTCGGTGAACGAACCTTCCGCTTACTCGATCAATTCGATCTCGAAACGTTGCTACTGCTTCGACGGATTCTCGTACGCTATTCTGCCGGAAATTTACGGGTTTGAGGGACTTATTGCAACTTGCGGAAAAAGGTAATGTCGCGTGAAATTATGTGATTTTAGGGCAGTGATGTTGAATACTCTCGCATCTATCTGGTCGTAAAGGTTAAATTATGCAATTTAAAAAATGGAGCATCAACTATTCGTTCCTTTATTCTACATATCTTGTCCCATTCAAAATATGTATAAATTTATATGTGTCTGTCATGATTTCGCGTGATAGTCCTTTTTTTACCATGAGGAGAATTCTTCGCGTTTTTTACAAAAATTTTGTTAAAATCGGAATTATTAATTGAAAGTTATGTATTTTGTATTCTTCGTTAACAGAAAGAGGCAACGTTGAAATAAAATATAGAAATTGATTTATTTTCAAAGGAAAGAGTAGTGGTTTTTTTCGGAAGGGATTTATGAGAAAATTTTGGAAGGAAGGAAGAGAAGACGAAGCGGACACGATTGATTTATTTAAAGTGGAAAAGACTAGTCACCTTCTTCCCCAAGATTTATACCAGAATTTTGAAAGCAAGAAAGAAAAAACAGCACGAGTCGATTGATTTATTTGTAAAAGAAAAAGTGGCCATTCTTTGTAAGATTTATACGAGAAATGTATGAAGTGTATAAGTGTGATTATTTTTGTATCAAAACTGCAGAAAAATATTTCGAGTGAAAATTATATAATGGATATTTGACTCTGTGATGACTTTGAAAAGTTTTTTAGAGTTCATGTATAAATTTTTTTAAGGATCATTTTTTTTTAAATTCGTGAGATATTTCAATTTGTACGAAACATTTTTGCAATTTAAATTACTGACCTCTTTACGTTGTATCATAAAATTATTTTATGTAAAATATTATTATCTCTCGTAAAAAAAGGTGTACCATTTTATTACAAAATTAGTACATAAACTTTACACGACTTTCCAGTGTTATCGAAACAAATAGATAAGAGTATCACATGTTCTCGATATCGTATAATTTATATTAGAATCTTTCATTCTGATATTTGTACAAATAATCATATATATAAAACGTGAATATTACATGCTGCCGAGCTGAACGCGGGTACCTTAACGGGACGACGCCGACGCCGACGCCAGCATCGACGCCGACGCCGATCACAGGAGACCGCGGTGCACCTGCGCCTTGAATACGCTTTTCGTCCTCCTATCCGTGTCCAAGACCGCTTGAACCATCGCCGACCTGACTCTCTGCCACCTGAACTCACCCTTCAACCTCGCCACGACTTGACTCTCGCCACACCTGAACTCCCATTTTGACCCCCATACGTTTCACGGAAACGATATTCCGTCTGGCTACGTTCGTCGATACGCTCGATCACGCGCGGCTGACGCAGTTGTTTGATCTTCGGTGAACGAACCTTCCGCTTACTCGATCAATTCGATCTCGAAACGTTGCTACTGCTTCGACGGATTCTCGTACGCTATTCTGCCGGAAATTTACGGGTTTGAGGGACTTATTGCAACTTGCGGAAAAAGGTAATGTCGCGTGAAATTATGTGATTTTAGGGCAGTGATGTTGAATACTCTCGCATCTATCTGGTCGTAAAGGTTAAATTATGCAATTTAAAAAATGGAGCATCAACTATTCGTTCCTTTATTCTACATATCTTGTCCCATTCAAAATATGTATAAATTTATATGTGTCTGTCATGATTTCGCGTGATAGTCCTTTTTTTACCATGAGGAGAATTCTTCGCGTTTTTTACAAAAATTTTGTTAAAATCGGAATTATTAATTGAAAGTTATGTATTTTGTATTCTTCGTTAACAGAAAGAGGCAACGTTGAAATAAAATATAGAAATTGATTTATTTTCAAAGGAAAGAGTAGTGGTTTTTTTCGGAAGGGATTTATGAGAAAATTTTGGAAGGAAGGAAGAGAAGACGAAGCGGACACGATTGATTTATTTAAAGTGGAAAAGACTAGTCACCTTCTTCCCCAAGATTTATACCAGAATTTTGAAAGCAAGAAAGAAAAAACAGCACGAGTCGATTGATTTATTTGTAAAAGAAAAAGTGGCCATTCTTTGTAAGATTTATACGAGAAATGTATGAAGTGTATAAGTGTGATTATTTTTGTATCAAAACTGCAGAAAAATATTTCGAGTGAAAATTATATAATGGATATTTGACTCTGTGATGACTTTGAAAAGTTTTTTAGAGTTCATGTATAAATTTTTTTAAGGATCATTTTTTTTTAAATTCGTGAGATATTTCAATTTGTACGAAACATTTTTGCAATTTAAATTACTGACCTCTTTACGTTGTATCATAAAATTATTTTATGTAAAATATTATTATCTCTCGTAAAAAAAGGTGTACCATTTTATTACAAAATTAGTACATAAACTTTACACGACTTTCCAGTGTTATCGAAACAAATAGATAAGAGTATCACATGTTCTCGATATCGTATAATTTATATTAGAATCTTTCATTCTGATATTTGTACAAATAATCATATATATAAAACGTGAATATTACATGCATGCAAGAATGAAATGAAAGAAGGATTGATTTAAGTAAATTGGCAAGCTTTTTCGTTTATCGCTAGTTTCTTTTTAATTGTTGCCATAATTGACGGTACGTAAAAGGGAGAAACGGTGATATGTGAACATTTCAAAAGATTAGCAAATGAAAAGAGGTCGGATAAAGCGAAAAGGCTGTTTGGGGCAAATGTCACTAGCCATGCAATGGAAATGCGTGCACACGAAAGTATATCGTTCTACAAGGAAAAGCAGTTTATGCATTCCCTGAACTAACCGTTTGTATATTCTTTATTTTCCTTTGGTGTCGCTTTTGGTGATGCAACGTTATCTGCTTCAAAATATTCGCTTTTCTGATTTTGAAAAAGGCTTATCTGAATGAACAGCTTTCGCTTTGAATAAACTTTAGCATACTAAAACAAACTCGTACACGCGGTACGTTTCACATATAGGTATGGTTCACATATAACATTAATAAGCCACTGCATTTGTGAAAGAATGTTCTGACGCGTTTTCACTCCGTTGATCCTCTTAGATCTTCGGAACTCTCAAATCTTTCACCAAATTACAACTACTTTATTCGTCTAACAGAAATAAAGTTTTGACGTTTTTCTGGTTTAAATATACATTCACGTTTGCTTAACATTATATTATGAGTGACATTCGTCACAAGACAATCTGTCATTCGTTTCTTGTCATTTATGGGTCATAATCGTGTTACGGATAGTATTTTGACACGAATCTAGCTTCTTCGATGGAAATGGATTCATTTCTAGATTTATAAGTTGGGTACAGTGATCTACGAATTTTTTTAATTTTCAACTTCCTGGTTCTAAATTTTGAGATGACGAAGTGGTCTCTATATTTTCCAATTTTTAAAATTACAAATTATTAAATCTTCAAGTTCCTAAATTTCCGAATTTGAATTGCCCAAATTTTACTATTTTCAAAGTTCCAAGTTGCAGTGTTCTTACATCCCTAAATGTAATATACAAATTTGTAGATTTGCAAATTTGGGATCACTCGTGCCTACTCTGCCTATAACTATTTCCTAAATTTCTAAACCTTCGAATCTCGATGTCCTAAATTTTCTAAATTCTCAAATTCTAAAATTTCCAAAGCCCGAAATTGCAGTGTACTAAATCTCCACATACCCCTATCTAAACTCCCAGAATTGAACATTTTCAATCACCCATCTCCGTTTCACTACCTTCCCAAATAATACCTTTAATTAATTCGATTGTCAAATTACCAATAGTACTTGATTCGAAATTCGACCCAATTAAACCACTGAACTCCTGTATTGCATGCAAACTTCGAGAGACTGTACTTCATACAAAAGTATACATGCGCAAATAAATATCCGATCTTTTTTCATTTCACTCGGGGTTTAAAGTTATTCGCTTCCGAATGGTCGTCAATCTCGGCCTGGGATCGAAACCGCCGAAACCTCGAAGCCTCGAGTGAATTTCAGTGGAACAACGGTCTCATTTGAGTTTCCGTTAATTCAACCGAATTGCAGGATAATAAACGGGAACGTTTGCGGGTCTGAGTTAGGTATATGTACATCGTTCGAGGATTCCTTAGGTACACTCTTGTTGCTCGTCCAATCTCTGACGAAAACATATCTCTCAGCTTGTAATCATCCACCTATACGGTGTAAAAGCTACTCCCGCGTTAGTCCACGAGCTGATTTGTCAAGGATGTCAGTTATCTGAAAGGATTGCTTGTTCGCAGCGGGATGATATCCGGAGCTAATATCGTTCTCCAACGTTCCTTCGGCAATTTACCGAGATCCACAGTAATCGAGTTAGGAAGCGTGAATCGTACGTCGAACCATAATTTGCACTATAATTTGTCAGGTGTGTCAGTCAGAGCTAATCACAGCTAGAATATTAAGACAAA